ACACTGCCCATTGCAGAGACTGTAAGAAACTCTAAAACTTGCTGCCTGTCTGCTTGTTGGGATTAGGGGCTCTGAGCTCCTTAAAGTCGAGCACACAAGATTGACATTTTCAAGGGCTTTCTTGGCGGAGACAATGCTAAAAGGAAGAAAAAGCCAATATGACTTTGTTTCTACCTTGCTGGAGGAGTTGTTTGTGTAAATCGCCTATAAGCTTATTGACCTGAATGTGAGGCTCCCATGTTTTATTCTGCTTTGGCTGAAGAGCAGACACTGATAGAGCAGTGATAGGGCTGATTTTAACAGCTCACTGATGTAGTTTTACATTCATTCCCTTCCTTACCCCAACTTCCTTCACTCAACCACTCTTACCACCTTTGGGTCTATGATATGTCTTTGATATGTCAAAATCACAGCTAGGGTTATCTGAGGCGAGATGTGTGCTTTGCATGTCAATATAATATACATATGATGTTAAAACATCTGCTTTTTTAAGTGTTGGGTTTCAATGGAATTCAGAGAATATAATGCCATGTTTTAAACCAGTTAAAAACAAGTTAATATTTTGTGGTCGCTGAGATAGTTTCTTGGGGAGATATAATCAGCTTAATTTGATGTCAACCTTTCTTTGTTAGTAAAACAGCACAAATGTTCAGATCCAAAGAAATAATGCCAACATTAATTTGTAATCAGAAAAAAATGATTGCATTTTTTAATTTCTACACGTTGAAATAAATGTTCCATCCTTAGACATTGTTGCCTATTAAGTTCCTGTGATTGTGTTTGAAACTGCATTGCAAAACGTGTTAGATATGAGGCACAAAATCCATAATCACCACTTAATTAAGGAATCATCTTGTTGCTTCATTTCCTACACTGTAATTAAAAATGTAGCCCTATATGTTGTGTTACAGGGCTTAACATGTACTTGGGAGATCAAGATATTGCTTTTAATATTATCTCACACATATTCACACATTTTAATTTCAGTACAGCAAAGTAAACTTGATATATTTCCCTTTGTTATCCATGTTATGATATGAGCCTAGTGAGCAGAAGAGCTGCTTAATCAGAGAAATGAAACAGAAGGGAGATTGCTGTGTGTACTTTAAGATACTGTTAGTAAAAGAGGCATTTTAAGAAGAAACTCAAAAAAGGAAACTAGGTCAGAATAACCTCTTGTACTCTTAAGTAGGACAGTGCCTCAGACTTCCCTTAATTTTTCAGCATCATAAAGGAAGCTGTGTCCTTTTGGCAAGTTTAGTTGTTGTCTTTGATGTAAGCTGAATCTTTAAAGGCTATAAGGCTGAACAACATGTGTTTGAACTATATGTGAGTCCATCTGGAAGAACGGCTGTTATTTGACTTACTGTATAAGCTGAAGCAATTGTAAAATTCCTGGTACACAGTTAGGAGATGTACTGTAGTCCAATATGTGTTGACCTTTTTCAAGTTACTGTATTTTTGACCAGCTACAAATGAATGGATGTAATCGCTTTAAAATAGTTTTTTTGTTCTTAAAATACTTACAAGTACAGAGTTAGATGAAAGGAAACACAATCAAACATACAGTACTTGAAATCTATAATACGTTTAATCAGAAATATATAATATTTAAAGAACACCATTAATTGTATCTACTGCATTAGCAACCAAAGGAAACTTCTTCATAACTGATCAAAGTAATAAATTGCACAAATGTAAATATACTGTGTACTGTATATAACTTCCATATTTATTTAATTCAAATTCAACCTGTGCCACCTGCATCCTGACTCAGGGAGTTCTATATGACATCAGAAAATTCACTGTGTAGTAAAGACTGGAGGCTGTCCGTCCTGCTTTACTGTGGCCACAATGCTGGAACGTACTCAGCTCCGCAGTATCACCTTGAACTGTGTCTCCCTTCAGCTCTACAGTTTGTGTTTCACATTCACAATGTAAATAAAATGCATTGCATTTGTGTTCATCCTGGGTTGATCCTAGCACAGTGAAGGAGTACTGTGATAGATGAATATGCATTAGAAAGTTTTAATTGTTGTGCACAGAATGTGAATACCTGCTTTTCATTAGTATGATGAAGCCTACAGTACATCTCTGCTCCCAGAACCAGTTACACAATGAGGTTCCCTCTCTAAGGATCAGTAAATTTGTTTCTCTGCTTTTGAGCCTCAGCCAATATTCAGCTTCTTTACTCAGAAGGCTCTGGAATGGAACAAGGGAGAACCCTTGAGCCCAGCCGGTAATGCATTGATTGCCTAGACACATTTGCACGAGGCATTCATCTACTGAATTTTCTGTCCTTTCTACTGCTACAAATAGTTGTCTACTCCTCTGTGGCAATGAAGTGTCTGGACAGTTGCTGTGTAGGTCTCCGATGTTCTCTAAAGAAATAAGTAAAAAAGCTGCTTCTGTATCTTGGAGCTGTGTGTGTCTACTCCAATTTCCAGCACTTTAATTTTGTGGGTGTTTCATATCTGTTGTATGTGTTCTCTGTGATTCTCCTTAAATTACTTGGCATTTCGCCACTAGACTTTCTGTGCCTCCTGTGTAATTTCTGGAAGACCAGTTTGTGAACACTTTTCAAGAAAATCTTTTAGAACTAACTGTTATTTTGCTTGTCAAATATTGTGTTTAAGCAATGACAGCCTTTTTGCAGAGCACTTAGAATACAGAGACATTAAGACAAAAAAATTCTCAAACTCCATACAAAATACTACATCTTTTAACATTATATAAATGCCTGTTTTCTTTTTTTAACATTTAAAGGTAGGTGCAATGGAAAATTTGCTTTTTAAAAAAGCATAGTAAACTTAAAGTCATTGTTTTCTTGAACAAACTGATTTTCCTATATTTTATCTCATAGATGAAGTGTTGTAGGGATTTAATTAAGTCAGGTACGGAATCATCTTTAAGACTATCTGCTCTGTAGTTGGAAAATGCAATTCACTTAAACCACCCACAAAAATGTATTGACTTTCTTGTGAAGGCCTATTTTAATGCCGTAACTACCATGATGATGGTGTACTTTTTCTTTTGCATAACATCCAATGGTTATGTGGAGTCATTTATACCCATGCATACCCTTCCTTCCTCTTGAATTATGCTTTCTTTTCCGCCCACACTTCAGAGAGCATTTAACCCCCCAAGGAAGCCCTATAGATTACACTCTGTTGTACAACTCATGATCAAACATTACAATTAGCATTGTGACAGGCAAATGAAGAGCACCTTTTGCAGGCAACACACTTGGAGATAATAAAAAAAATATTTTGAAAGGGAACAATAGAAAGTTCCCTTTCATGCTAGTGGGTTCACTGCCTGCCTGTGAGACTGGTGTTCTGCACCTCTTGGAAGTGTCATATTTTTCAAGGTATCTACTAGTGGGCACCACGTACTGTACCGGCTCAGAACATTTCAAAACCCGACTAGAGACTCATTTATTACACCCTCAGTTTTAAAGAGACAGTTTATATTCTACCGGTAAACATTAGAAGTTAGATGTGGAGAATTTGACATCTGTTCCTGCCAATAAATATCACTTCCGACCATTAGAGGCTGGTGTCTAATCTGAACTGTAGTGATTCCCAGTCCCAGTCCTGGCAACACACACACCTGCTGGTTTTCATGCCATCCCACCTTCATTACATAACCAAAGCCTTACTGGATCTAAGATGGTACTTCCATTGAATATTTGCATTTTGTTTCACTATTTACAAAATACAGTGATTGAAGCTCCAACATGTTTAAAAGCTGGGCACGATTTACAGTTCACATTAATCTTACTATTATTTAGTCAGTGAAGGGTTTGATTGTGTAACCAGCTCAGCTGGAACAAAAACCGACAGGTGTGTGGGTCACCAGGATCAGGAGTGGGCACCACTGTTCTGCTGGAACCTACAGGAATTTCCCCTTCTAGGTAGGGGTTCCATTCTTTATTTTACTGTGCTTTTTTAAAGCCTGTGTTAGTTCTCATGATCACAGTGCTTTCATGTACTATAGGTATGTCTTCGTGTTCTTGCAGTGAACATCCTTTCACAATGTGTAACCCCTGGGTGTATAAAGGAAGATGCAATACTGAACACGTGTATGTACTGTACTGTGAAAAGGTGAAAGTTGTACATAGGGGACACCCATCCACCCATTTCTATCCACGTCATCCAGTTCAGAGTTGTGGGGGAGCTGGAGCCTTTCCCAGCAAGCAATGGGTGCAAGGCTGGACACACCAGTCTATCGCAGGGCAAAAACACACACACTCACACCAGGGAGAATTTTCCCACAAGCCGGTTAACCTACCAGTATGTCTGGACTGTGAGAGGAAGCTGAAGCACCCATAGGAAACCCATGCAAACACGGGGAGAACATACAGTATGAACTCTTTGCAGCTTGCTCCTCATGATTGGAATTGAACCCAGGACTGCAGTGCATAATTTGTAAATTTGAAATAAATGGCAGTACTAGCCCAGATACATTCAGTTATTATTAATTGGCAATTACAGATCAAATGTCCTTAGTAATTACGAATATAAGCAAGCACAAATGGATATCTAACTCAGCTGAGTAAAGCTCTCTTGCACAAGGGTTTGCTATGCAGTAATGTGTCCTTAGTAAATAAAGGCAGTGAAACATTTGTATCCACAGTGCTGATAAACTATGTAATTATACGCCATTAATCAATATTATCAATGTGTTTCCTTTTGTTTATATTCATGTGTAGGAAGACAATGTTTAAAGAATCTCCATTGAATGGAAAATTAGTGAAGCAAACCCTTTAAGAAAAGGAAGCACTCTTAATGACACAGTACATTCATGGTGCAGTATCTCATTTTAGCTGCTAGACACAATGAGAAAACTGCACTTCAGGTGCACTTGCAAGACAGCCTCTCGAGATCCAGTCGAGTACTTCTAATTTGTCTTCCCAAAATGGTAGATGAAAATAAAGATTCTTTCCCCACTACAGAATGAGCCTTTAGTCACACAGAACTTCGCTTGTCTTTGTTCAGGTGAGGAAGAGGGGACTCAGGGAGCTGTGGAATCAGATGGAGATGGGCAAAGTGAGAAAGCCAGGCTTCCACCACTGGAAACAGGAGACTGGGATGGGCCAGGTAGGTGAACACTTATTCAGTCCTCTGCAGGAGGGAGGAGGATGGCTGTTTGGTCTCATTCGTACACAATTAATGGGAACTTTAGCTCTGGAACCTAGGATATATATTTTAGTGTGAGCAACAACAGTGAAATAAGTAGTGTATCAGTGTAAAAAGAGAGGCCAAATGAATACCAGGGGAATAAGTGAGAATCCAATAAGTACACAGAATACAAACAAAGGTTATTACCGTGTTCTTAATGAGTTGTATTCATTAAATAAAAGAGCAAGTACAATATGTATTTGTGTGATTTGAAAAGATGGTGTCATTATACAATAAATGTAATTCATATGATACATTTATGTATAATAATAATTTATATAGTGCCTTCAAAAGTCGCTGCTTAAAAAACGTTTCCAAAAGAGATAACAGAATTGAAACAATTCTTCAATGAAATAAAAGCCTTTTGGAAGAAATAATGTTAACTCACTGAATGAACAGATACTCCTCCACTGTATCTCTTTTCTTTTCAGTACAGAAAATAAAAGAGTGGTTACTGTGGTCTATAATGGAGGTTATGTTTGTAAGCAAAATACATTTGGTAAGATACTGAATAAGCTTTGCTATGCTACAGTGTCATGTGTGGAAGCTTTAAGTGAAAAGGTTTTCTGTCAGGTTGATATCAGGAAGTACAGTATACAGTATGTCTAATTTTTGGTGGCATCAGGCTGTTCCTGTGCTTCTTATAACCATTTAGCCCATTAGTAAGTTTCCTGTAATCACTTGTCAGGAGTCTATTACAGCATGTTTTAAATTAATACATCAGGGATCTGGGGATTACAGGAGTACCTCAATAATAATAATAGGACATCTTATGATATCCTTGACAATCAGAAAGCTATAGAGGTAGAACTTGCTGCCTAGAAACAAATTGTGAGAGTTGAAAAGAACAAGAGAATGAGAACTGTTATGCTTCAATATTTTAATCAATTATATTACATTTGAGTTCATCTCCCAGACTCAATTCACTTAGACTGAAACGGTATTTCTGAAAATCCAAACGTTGCTCTCCTTTGTAAATATTCATAGAAAAATCAGTTTAAGTTATAGTTATGAATTCTTAGTGTAAGCAAAATCATGTTAAAATACTTAGGGTTTCTGTACCTTGATAATAATGGAAACTTTTAAATTCAGTGAAAACATTAGTACTTTATAGCCATAACAACTGATGCATGGAATTTGGTTTAAGAATTAACCAACGGAATTAATTCAAATTAATTAACAATTCATTTTATTTTTAAGAATTCACCTTCCATGTATATTAATGTTCATGTGGGAAAATCTCAAAAATACCAGGTGAGACCACATATCTGTACTTAGATGTCAGTAGAATAAATACAGTTTAAGAAAGTTTGACTTTACTTTTATTTAGAATTTTTAAACTCAACATGCTTTTGAGTATAAAAAGCTTTTGCCTTTTCATTGAAATCTATATAAATATTGTTGTGCATCGGAAAACTTAGCCAATTTCTTAAAATAAAAGGCTTGTCAATGATACAAAACAAATTTTTTGCTTTTGTTACAAAAATTGTAAAAAAGTATACAATGTTTAAAATAAAAGGAGTTAAAAAAATATTGACAGCTTCTAAGATGAGCGGGAGATGTTAATTTTTCAGTCTTCTGTGGGGAAATTCCTGTGAAGATCCTTTTGAATACATTGTCATCCCTCATGGAAGTTACAGCACTTTAATGACAATGCTTTTAGATGCCATGTACTGTACAGTAACTTTTCATGTGGGCAGATTTCAATGATTACAATACCACACAGTGCTAGTTAATGAAATTAATCTAATATAATTTCACACATTTGATTGTGTTTCATATTTCTATTTTGAAAAGTAATTTAAGTATTAATATAAATATCATCTGTGCAATTGTGTAGCTTTTTCAGCATTTTTATTTATGATGTAAATATTGTATGTGATGGTCTGGCATGCCATCCAATGTGCATGCATTCTAGAGCCTGTTGTCTGCTGTGTTATACTCCTGTTCACCATGACCCTGTATTGGACTAAGCATTATTGAAAACAGATAGGAACTGGGCACCATAGTTGACATTTCAAAAAACATTTCATGCATGCATGGTTACATTTGAACAGGATGGATTAATTTGCTTCAGTCCTACAGTCAGAGACATAGGGATTGAAATTGTTACTAATTCATTTATCTGTACTAAGTAAATACTTTATTATAGTAAATAATGGTAATTAAGGTATGCTTTTTTAACAGAAGTATCTTTTCAAAGTTTATTAAATACTAAATCAGCTAAAATGGGTAGGAGCAACCAGTGGCTTCCTTCAAATTTAAGGCAAAATATCCTCTAAGATATTGTACCTACAGTAACTGAGACAAGAATTACCAATATGTGTAAATAAGACTCTACAGATGTCTATGTTTGCACTCATAGATTTTGGCACCTCATGTCTTAAGCAACAGTCTGAGAAGACACAATTATTTTTGTCTTCAGTCTTGAACATATGTTTTTAAGTTCTTATGATTGTTTAAGAAAACATTGGTGTCCTAGCCAGCGCTGGCCTCCCCCCGATATTAAACCTCTCATAACATTTTTGATAAAATGAACTGTAGAGTGGAAAAATAAGATTTTTATCATTGGGTAGGAAAAAAAAACTTGTAAAAGTTGTAATAAGGCACCTAGAGTTATTGCAGCTGTATTTGTTGACAAAGCAGAATTTTGGATTTGGAAAATTTCCAATAGATGTTGGTTTGTTACTGTCTTTTGAAAAATGTTCATACATTTTCATGTAACTTAAACTGTTTATACATATGGCCCCTCACTAAGCAGTTAATATATTTATGGTAATAAAATAACATGTATTTAATAATATAATATTTTAATAACGAAGTGACTCCTTTCCTGCAATGTACGGAAGATCCTGATATAACACATGATAATAAACCTTAAAATACAGCAAGAAGAACACATGTGAAGGGCTTAAAATGCACTATTAATATTACCAATAAACTATAAATTCAGTACCAGAGTTGGATAGAAGATTAAATTGCTTTACTGTAAAGCTCATTATTTTGCATGGACGTGAATGTAGACTATGCACCCAGCTTATAATATTTTTTTATTTATCTTTTGTTCTGGAAGGATCTCATTTTGCCATGAATATTTTTTCTGCTTTCTCTAAGTCTTTAAAATAGTTTTATCTTGTTTTATTCTTCTTAAAAGTCACTTCATCAGAGAGATGGATAATACATCTCCTGCGATAGTAACACAGCAATTACTGTTCAGCATCAACTAGTCCATTGCTGAATACACAAAATATGATTCCTTTAATGCATATGACCTCAAGAATTTATTGCAGGTATATACATTTATAAAGTGGATTTGGGCAAGTTGTGTTGGAAGCCCCCTGGGGTGTGTATTTTATACTGACAGTGAATCAGTGTTATCAGTGCTATCAGATAATGCATTTATCATTAAATTTCACATTTGCATTTAAATCTTCGGAAGGAAATGAGTATTGCTGGCTAAAGATAAGAGCTTTGGACGACTGTAATAAACCATCACTGTGATCAGTCTGGAAATAAGGCTAAGGAGGTCAACTGAGAACTATAGGGGGATGACAAAAAGAGGCATCATATTTTGAAGGCCTTTTAAGGAAAAAAAGTGCTGAGCTTTAAAAATACTGCTTTCAAAAGCATGCGGGGCTGTGCCTGACTTGTTTATGTATTTTTACCATCCATTAAAATGACAAAAAGGCTTAGGATAATGATGTGTTGTACTGTAGGTAACAGAGACAACCTTTTTAAATGAAAAACAATACAGTAATTTGTTATAATGAAGGAAATGTAGCACAGTCCGTAGTTTGACCCATAATGGATGCTGGAAAAAACAAACAACACTTTCTGTGATCAAATTAAAATTTGCAGGTTATTCTGAAGTACTGCAGTGACTAGTTTGTGTGAGAAAGTTTGTAGTTCTGCTGCTTAGAGCAATTAAAGTTGCTCTATAACTTTATGAATTACCATAAAACATTAATTGTCTCCTTTAATAATAATACATTTTATTTCTTAACCACTATCTGAGTATCTAATATCTAATAGCGAAAAAGGGGCCAAACCGATAAAGAGAGGTATCAGCAATTCCTAGGTTTTCATGCAATCTACAGGTAGTTATGTCATGATTCACAGTATCAGGATCTGCCCTTAACTCTAGAAAAAGAAGACTTTCAGGCAACTCAAAGTCAGAAACTATTGGCAAGCCATTAAAAACCTTTAACAGGGGCTGTATCAGTAGTGTCTCTTTGTTTAAACCCCGTCTGGAAAGGTTCAAGTAGCTCATTAGATGCTAGGAAAGATTGCAATTGAGCTGCTGCCACCTGTTCTAGAATTTTTACAAGAAAGGGCAAATTAGAATAGCATGGTAGTTATTAAGCACTGTAGAGCCCAGACTAGGTTCTTTTACACTGGTGTGGTAACAGCAGACTTAAAACCTACAGGTGCAAGACCAGATTTCAGGGACTCACTGAAGGAGTTAGCAACAAATGGAAAGAAAAATAACCTAGATTTGAGCAGGGGTGTAGCAATGGGGTCCAAAGCAAGGGGTGGTAGATCTCATTTTTGCTACTAATTCAGGCTCGTAAGTAGCATCCACAGCGGGAAAATGAGAGCCTCTCATACCTGTGAGAGCAGGAGTGGGTGTAGTTGACAGGATTGCAGAAGGTCAGCAGCTGATTATTATTAATATTGAGTATTTTGTTCTAAAGAATGTCATGAATGTGTTACACTGTTCAGTAGAGGAAGAAATGCAGACTTATTAAATGGCTGGAGCATTCTACTGATGGTAGGACACAGGGCTGTAGGATTACTGTACTTGTTCTCCGTATGAAGGGACTAGAAAGAGGATGTGGCAGCTTTAAGAAGATTCCTATATGACAGCCGATGTTCATAAGCCTGTAAATAAACAGTCAGCCCTGTCTTGCTCCACAAAT